CTTTTCTAGTCATCCTGAAGCGCCCTGATGGCACACAAGCATAGGCTGGGCCAAAAATGAAGTCATACTCTGTCAAGATATGAAGAAAATTGATGACTTTTCTTTTGCTACTTTGTGGTGATAAATAAGCTATACATCCTGATAAATTCATCTTATATGCCTTGTGAATGAAAAATAGACATACGGCAACTGTTCCTTTTGCAAATTCTAAGATTGAGACTCCTATCTCTGTGGATAGCCCTAAACTGTTCTCCAGAACTGTAGATCTGGTTGCCCCAGTATGGGAAGGCCTCCAGATACTTTCAGGGAATTCTTTTTCAGGTATGGGTTGGATCAGATAGCTATTGAGGTTCTTTTCAATTCTTAAACTATTACTCTGTGAAAACATCTCCATTCTTGACATCACCACATCATCTGTATGTTTCTACAACACACATTTGACACTTTAAACCAATTGATTTTATATTTCAGACTCAGATTTCTCATTCTTCTTCCTAAAAATTATAAAACTAGAAATCTTCCTCTCTTCACAACAATCTTCACAATAACATGATTATTTTCAACAGTAACTCTCTTCCTGAAAATCTGTTAGGAAAAAAGTGGGGAAAATGTTACAAAAGGTGAATTATTTGAAAAAAATTCATCTAAGAATAAGATATATTTCTTATGATGTCTGGATGACATTGGGCAAGTCACTTACCCCCTCTAGGTATCAATTTCCTCATATGAAAAATGAGAGGAAAATAGACTAAATGACCTCCAAGATATCTTCCAGCTCTAAAGTTATTAGTTTTAGTTAAAGCATTCAATAGAATGCTAGTAGTAGAAACAGGCAGATACTAACAACAGCTAGGTGGTATAGCAGATAGTACTGGGCATGGAGTCAGGAAGACTCATACTACTGAGTTAAAATAAAGCCTCAAGACACTTACTAGCTGTGTGACCCTGAGCAACTCACCTAACCCTGTTTGCCTCAGTTTCCTCATCTGTAAAATGACTGGGAGACCACTCCAGTATCTTTGCTAAGAAAATCCCAAATAGGGTCACAAAGTGGTAGATGTGTCTGAACAAAGGAATGGAAAATATTTTCATTTAAATGATATCTAACAAACTTCTTTCAATATTTTAAAAAAAACTTGTTAGGTCACCTTTTCAATATACTTCATAAGTGCCTATCAAATTATAAAGTAGGCCTCATTTTACTAGCAGAAAAAACTATGGCAGTAAACAGCTAAAGTAGCACTCAAGGCTGTAAGTTATTTCAATAGCAGACATCTGTCTGTTTTACTGCTTCCTTCCTTCCTTCCTTCCATTACTTTAGGCTGCTTCTTCCAAAAGGACTACTGATTTTTTTGAAATTTAAAACAAAATAAAACCTCCCACCACCCAAACCATTTTTGGATAATTTTTTTGTTACTTCTCATCTGAGGATATGGAAGTATTGACAGTCAATAGCTTTTGTTCCCTAGCTCACTGCTCCACAAGAGAGGATGCATTAAGTTTCTTAGAGAGCTGCTAGTATTTCACATTGATATTATAGTATTTTCCAATGAAATACAGAATTACAAAGTTAACGTTTACTGAATTGTACAAATACATCACATCTGTAAAATGCCCTTGAAACTGAGATCAATGGCAAAGCAGAGTCCTCTAAAGTTCTCTCACCAATTAGCATGATTTTGTATTAAAAATCAGCTAACTAAAGAGAGCCTGCTCTTACTTAGTTTTTCAGCCAAATTTCTATATATTTGTTATGCTCCTAAATGACATATCTTTTAAAGCACTAATTTCAAAATTAGTTGTGCTAGATATGCTAAAAGGAAAAGCCTACAAATGAAAATTAAATGGGTGCTGAAAATAGACCAGGTCAAATGGAGCTTTTCCCCTTGAGTGTCCTTTCACTGTGACTTAAAAGAAAACATGTAAAAGAAGGATAAAAAGAGTTAAAGAGCTATGTGTAGAGCTCTTTTAAATCACACCATAGACAAATGCTCAGTCTGTAGTATAAAAACCATTTGGCTATTTAACATAAAATAAAGCCCCACCATTTTAATGTAAAGTTCTTCTATTAAATAAAGAGTACACTTGTAAAACAATCACCATGTTTAGTCTTATTTTACTATAAGGGACTAGTTGGTGTATTTGCCTGCAGCTCTCAAATCCCTAATCAGCTGGTACCTGATAGCAGAAGGAAGAGGAGGCTGAGGTCAAAAACAAGGTCAAAAAATGGTGACTTTTCTTGTGACATTTTAGAGTACTAAAAAGACCAGCCATATGTCTTGATGTAGTCACCTGTATGCCAGGTGAATGAAGAATGTATAACTGGCAGCTGGCCAGTGCTGTAAACTCTGAGATAAAGTTCCTTCCATCTCCATGGACAGCCTCCAACCACCTCCCTAGAGCTGTAGGCCTGGTTGTTCCAGAATGGGAAACCTAACCTCCCAAAATACAAAAGGACCCAGTATCCGAAGAACATGCAATTCAATCCAATAAGTATTCCATAAGCATCTATGGTGTGTGAGCTTCAGGTATAAAAAGACCTCTCCCTTCACCCCCAACAACAACAACAACAACAACAAGAAGCAGGACTTTTACTGAGGAGATACAACTTGTACACCAAAAAGTAAATGCAAAGTATATACAAAATGAATACAAAGTAAGATGACAAGGGAAATACCACCCACTCCCGGAAAAGAGATGAAAGTCCTCAAATAGGAGCCCACCACAACCCTAAAAGTATTGGGCTTCCAATCCTGGTTCATAACAAGCCAGCAACCTAGTATTAAGTTAATTTACATTTCAGGACCTCAGTTGTAAAATGGACAGAGAATTTCACAGGGCTGTTGTAAGGCCAACATGACATAACATACAAAATATAACCTCTTGTTACAAGTAAATTGCAAATCAGTTAACAAGCACTCATAAATGTAAATATACATCTTAATTTTTTCCCTCAGTAAGTGCTTTTCTTAGCAAAAATAAAGCTTAGGACAACATGGCCTTAAGTCCAGGACACACAAGTTTTCCTTCCCAACTTCTAAAAGACAAACAGGTTCAAAAGCCATTTTAGTTAGGAGGCATGGTGGTAGGCTGGGCAGACCTCCAGCAGGCCATGCAATACCTCACTAATAGGGACCTACTAGACATCAATCACCCTTGCCCCAGGCCCCTGAACTGCCTGAAAAGTTGTTCAGTCAAAGGCCTAAAGCTAACCAGCCACAACTAAACACCATGACCTGATCTGCCCCAGCCTGAATCCTTTCAGTCTGGGCAGGCAGAGGCAAGGAAGAGGAGGATTGATTGAGCAACTTTAAAATGAACAATCAGCACCCAGATCTTCACCCTTCTCCTTCCCCAAACTGGGAGAGTCACTCCTGACATTCATCGTATATTAGAGGAAGAGTGCACTGCGACTTGGGTCAGGAAGAACTGGGTTCAAATCCTGCCTCAGATGCTAGCTGCTGTGGGTCGGTGCAAGTCACTTAACCCTATCCATACCTCAGTTTCCTTTTGTGTAAAATGAGCAGGTTGTACTCATGCCCTCTAAAGTACTTTCCAGGATCAAATCTCGCCTCAAACACGCAGTAGTGATGTGACTAAGGACACGTCACTTAACCTCTCTGTGCCTCAGTTTCCTTTTCTGTAAAATGAGCCGGTTGGACTCAAGGGTTCTAAAGTACTTTCTATACCACATCCTAGTCTATCCAGGTTCAAATCACACTCGGACACTTAACCTCTTGATGCCTCAGTTTCCTTTTCTGTAAAAGGATCATGTTGGACTCATGGGTTCTGAAGTACTTCCCAAGTCAATATCCAGGATCAAATCCCTCCTCTGGCTCTTACTAGTGGTGTTTCCCTGTGAGCGCGGGTAAGTTACTTAAGCCCTCAGTGTCTCAGTTTCCTCATCTGTAAAACAAGAGGGTTGGACTCATACCCTCTGGAGTCCATTCCAACTCTAAAAACATGACCCTAGTATTCAAGCCGCAGCCGCTTCAACAGCTGGAAAAGGGGATCCGAGCCAGGCCCCGGGGCTCGCCCCGAGGCACAGCCCAGAAATACCCCCCGCAGGGAAAGGCACCCCACCCCCTCCGCCAGCACAGGGAGGGTGCGTGGCTCCGCCCCCGCGTCCCCCCACCCGCCCGCCGGGGAAGCCGCGCTGGAGCTCCAGTCCTGGCTCTGACTGACTCTTCCTAGCGTAGGCGGTCCAGGGCGGCTGGAGCCTTTGGGCCTCAGTTTCCTCATCTATAAAATTAGCGAGAGCGAGGATACTGGACCCCAGCCGCAAACCTCACGGCGCCGGGCTGGGACCAGAGGAAAACGCTCGAGTAACCCTGGCGGGAGAGGCCACTCGCCTCCCGACAGTCAGCCCTAGCGGAACCCAGCACGGGCAGGTGCAGCCGCCGCGCAGGTGTCCCGCCCAGGACGGACCACGGCTAGGAGGGGACAGGTGGTTTCCTCTCCCCCTCCCGCGGACCCTCCGTCGTCACCTCATCAAATAGTCCCGGAAATCCTTGCTCCGGACATAGTCGGCCGCTTTCCGCACCAGCGCCCCTGCCATGGCTGCTGCTGCCGCCGCTACCGCCGCTGCCGCCTCGGCTCTACCCCAATGACAACCCAGCCGACCCAGCCCGGACGGGCAGGAAACTCCACTCCGCTGCCCCCCCCCAACAGTAGCAGCCTCACCACAGCACCGCCCGCATTTTACGGCATCCTCCCCTCTCTCCCTCCCTCTCCGTCTGAGGGGCGATTAGCTCCAGGGGACAGGAGCGGGCCACTGATTGGTTTCTCGCATGCTACACACCCCTTTCCCACCCCTCCGTTGGTGGGTGAGGGGAGGGGGCCGTAAAGCACCGCCGAACCCATTTGCTAAGGAATGGCAGTTCCCCCACCCGGAGGAGAGGAGGAAGGGGGCGGGGCGAGAGCCTCTGAGGGCTCCTCGGGATTGGCTGAACGAGTGGGTCCCCACCCATTGGCCGACCGCGGCGTGGTCTGCTCCCCAATTAGCGGCCTGCTAGGTGGCTCGCTGTCCCGCCCCGCTATCGTTCCGTTTGTCTTCCCTCAAGGGCGCCCTTGGGGAGGTGCTGTATCTGAGCAGGCTCCTCGCGCTTGTGCTGCTCCCCTTCCTCCTTCCCGCCCCCATCTGAGTCTCCCGACGTCGGGTGTCCAAGTGGGCTGCTCCTCTCACGCGGGGTCCCCTGAGAACCCTCCACCCTCCGCTCCTAAAAGCCGAATACACTGGCTGCTAGTCACCCCCGCTTGGCCCGCGGCTGAGCAGAGGTCAATAGTTCCCGGAAAAATGCTTGGGAGGGTGGGGGAGTGGGAGAAGGGGGGAGTTCTAAGCTTCAACATTAATTGCGAACAAGTGATTTGGCTTTCAGACATTTTAAAAGCGGGTTTATGACAAACTACAAAAGCTACCCTGAAGTATGATTATTGAGATATAAAAGGACAGCTTATCAAACATAATAATAACTAACGTTTATATAAAACGCTTACTTTATGCCAGGCACTGTGCATATTTATTTCATTTGATCCTCAGAACGACCCTGTTTGGGAGGTGCTACTATTACCCCCATTTTACAGATGGGGAAACTGAGGCAAACAGGTTAAGTAACTTGCCCTGGGTCAGGGCCCACAGCTAGGAATCTTATGTATCTAATCTAAGTGTTTCAGGCCTTATTTGAAGTCTTCCTGACTCCAGGCCTAGCGCTTTAATCCACAGATATTGGTGCCAAAGGTTTTCACTACTACCACTCCAATGGAAAAATTCCAGAAAGCATATTCAAACCCAGCATGTAACCTACTGAACTACTTTAACCCCGAAGTTATTAATTCACTTAACAAACATTTGGTAAACAACAATTACATGCAATGTCCTTTGAGGCCCTGGGGGAGATAGAAAATATTAGTACATCTTGGTCAATACTCAAGCTATTCCTTACTGGCTAATACTGTAGCTGATCCAGCCACCTTGAAATATAAGGATGTCATTCTATCAGGATGGAAATATCAATAAACAAGCCGAATTGTTTTGGGTGAAACAAAACACAGTAAGTAATGGATTTGGTTAAGTTTTTTTTTTTAAATCTCTGTTGGCCTTTAATTTTTGATTATTAGGTGAAAGTGTCTTAATCTCCTGAGACAAGATTGTATAAGTGCCTAGTTGTGGTTCATCTATGAGTCCTGGTTGTACAACGCTCACCTCAATATCTTCTGTGAGTGGATATTCAGCCTTTATGTGATGATGTTTAGTGAAGAGAAATGCAATGCCACCAGGGTCACCCCATTCTACATCTGGATTGGTAAGTTTTTCATAACCTCAAGCTAAAGCTTTGCAAAGCAAATAGCCTGGCACATAGTAGGCATTTAATAAATACTTGTTGACTTATCTTGAAATTTTTCACTCATTGCCCCTAGTTCTTTTTTCTGGGGTCAAGCACAGCAAGTATAAGCTTCTTCCACTAATAGCCCTTCACTTACTTAAAGACAAATATTAAGCACTCCACCACCTCCTGAGTTCAAAGCCAGCCTCAGACCCTTTACTAGCCATATGACCCTGAGTAAGTCACTTAACCTCTGCCTCAATTACCTCAACTGTAAAATGGGGTTCATAACAGCACCTGCCTGCCCAGAAACCTAGCTAATCCATTGGCCTGAATGGGAGCTTGCTGTTTGTCCCACAGAGAAGACTCACCATCATAGGAAAAACAGAGTTGTCGTGAAGATCAAATTAGATAATATTTGTAAAGCATTTAGTAAAGTGCCTGGCACAAAGTGGGCACTTAGCAAATGGTTGTTTCCTTCCTTTAGGTATGAAATCTTTGCAAGGCTATAATTTCTCAGCTCTAAGAAAAAAGTGGCCATATCACTTATTATGGTTGCCCTCTTGTAAAGGTTTTTCATTATATGAATATTAAATCAGAAAAAGCAAACAAATATATAGATGTTTCTCTTTAAAAACTGATTATGGTTAATTTTTCAATCTTGATATTAGCAATGTTGGCACAGACCCAGTAATCTCAGGGCTTGCCATCTGATGAATATTTTCAGCCCCAGCAACTCCAAAAGATGTTCTATTAAAGTTTGAAGGGCTTGTGGTCTTCACTGATGGAGAAAATGCTCTCATGTCTGAAATCATAGATTTTCAAAGCATTTATCTTTAGTCTAATTCATTTTAAATTATGTTTTTTTGCCATCGTAATAATGACCGACATTTATATAGCATTTTAAGGTTTGTAAAGCATTTTATTCACAATAGATCTGGAAGTATACTGTACATATTTCATTATCTTGTTTCATTAACTCTCTTTGTGAAAACTCTCAAGGACTTGAGATGGGTCAGCTATGCCAGCATCAGATCAAACTCCTTAGGGCTTTTTGCTGGTAACCTCCCCCCCTCCAAAAAAAACCCTCAAAAAACAGTCCTCTACCTGGAATCTTAACAGCAATGGCTTATAATACTTAGCCCAACATACTTTGAGCTAACATAATAACAATTACGAAACTAAATTGATAAAGCTGTGTATGTATTTCCTAGTACTGTTCATGAAAAATTAAGTGCATGCTTGTATTGTGAAACTTGGTAAAAGGAAGCAAGTTCCACCTAAATTTATTCTATTATATTAAAGCCATGTGCAGTTTTCTATGTAAGGTAACTTAGAAATGCATTCAACTGAATTGAGGTTGCCTTACTGGTAATGGATTTTGTTTCAAGTTTCAAATTCATAATATTATTTATGATATTATACAGATATGCTGTCAGGAATGCAATTCTCTTCCAATTCGTATGTTGCTAGGTTATGAATGAACTGTTAAAAGAAAGGCAAATGTTTGAAAATTGTTAACATTCTGAAGTACTGTAATTTAAGAAGCTGGAAACTTCCAAGTTTGCCTAGAATAAAGAAGAAGTTTTGTCTGAAATTAGTTATCACTCATAAAAGTTTTGCAGCTCTGTGAAAGAATTTCTGTGTTGTTCAACTAAGAAAACTGAATTCCTCTCCCCTATTGCAAATATTTCGGGGGGGGTGGTAAGTAGGAATTTGTTTATAATATAGGATATTATGAATTATGAAGTTATATCTGGAATAGTCTGTACTAACATAACATCTTTAACCAATCTAAATGGACTACAGTCTTAGGAATATATTTTTGCTTTAAAGGCTTAGTAGCTTTATTAAATTCTAATAGCTGCCTTATTGCATCAGATTGAATTTTAAGCTGTATTTGGGAAAGGGAGATATTAGAAGAAAAGAATATTACACAAAATCTTTTATATGATTTTTTTTTCAGAAGGCCTGCTAACTTTTTATTTGCTGGCTAATTTATTGCAAGTTTGCTGGTGTTGATAACAATTGTATCCAACCCCACTGTGATTAGTGAGATTACTGTCTGAGGTGAAAGCTTTTGGGGCTGTGAATTTTCTTTTTGAACTTCATTTTCAGAGTTTTTTTGGTGTCCTTGAGCCAAATGTTTCACTGCTTCAGGGGAAATGCTAGCAGCTGAATGGGAGTTAAGTCAGTGGGATATCTGTCCCTGTGAAAAAAGTTGGAAGGGTGATCTTGGGAAGCTAAGGTAAGACCCTTTTGACTCAGATTCCCATACAAAAAATCTTCTCACCTGGTTAATTCTGAGCCTGGCTTTGGTATCCTATCATACACTTGGCTGCTTATGCCATTCTCAACTGAAATCAGTTGGAATTAAGGAAGCTTCAGTTGTTTTGTGCCCTTGGGCTTCGGTCTGAAGGCTGCTATTTTGGTCCTAATCTGTTTCTTCCTCTCATAGCAAAATCTCTACAACCAGGGCAAGTCCTTCCTCATATAATTGCTGTTGTAATACTTTAGTACCTCCTGCTGTTTTCAATTTGAGATTCCATACTCTGAACAATTAAGTAAGTATTTGGCCTTGTCATCTGCCTGTTTATAGTTATATATTCATGTATGGTATAAGGTCCTTACATTTTTCAAAATGCTATGGGAATGATTGGACAGTAGTGTAAGAATTTGTGGGATCAGAATATGTGCGTGTGTGTGTATACACATATATTTATATAAATTAAATGCAAAATATCTTCAGTTTTGTTTTAAAGAAAAGTATTAACCTTAAAGGAGAATAACTTATGGAATATCCTGTGCTACCTCAAAGGGAAATCCAATTTTTTACTTAAATTTATTATTTAACGTGGGATTAACGCTTGTGTTTTGAGCATGCTCTGAAATGCAAGCAAATTGCACAAGGATTTCAAGAGGATTTGAGAGCAGTGATCTACATGGGTGTAATATCCAGTTCATTTGAGCTTAGTAACTGAACATGTTTTACTATAGACAACTCATTTGATATGATCTGGAATTTTTTACTTACTCTATTCAGATGCTCAACCACAGCCCTTTGTTAAAAAAAAAAGGCATCTTTTGAGTGGATTCATTTGTGTGACCATTAAACTTAGGCAGAGAAGTCACCTACTTAAAAAAGATGTTGTTGTTAGAGCCTTAGCAGTATCTTTTCCTCCTGAGGGAGTCAATGAGTTATCCTATTTTTTCCTGTAAGCTTTACAGGCATTTTGAGTTTTCATGCTCTTGGAATCAAAATATTTTGATGGCTCCCTGTGTTTATTTGATAGTCTTTCATCCATATGTGCTTGAGCAAGCACTTTGGTAAAAAAAAATGTCTTTTATCAAAACAAAAATTTAAAGTAATAAGTGCAGAGGAGAATTACAAATTAAATATCTTGGGTTCTGTTTAGAATGGCAGAAAAGCGTGTGTAGGGAGATTGTTTTATTTCATAATAGGATATTCAACTAGAATTTGTTTCATTACTATCTAGTGTTTTCATTTTAAAGCATATTTATACTATTCTAACCTTTTTCCTTCCATTAATGATTTCTGTTTCATTGCCTAGTTTACAAACTTTGGTTACCTGTGTTCTGTTTTTAGCTTTTGTATGTGTATGTCTATATAGCTTAATATCTCTCTGCTTTTTAATGTTATCTTAACTATGTCACTATTATGGTATTTTTAGACAAACTGCCTTTTCGTACCAAGTATAACTTATGTCAGATCCAATTTTAATGAGCTACTTTCTATCTTTATTTTTTCTTTCCTCTCTGAAAGGTAATTAAGTGCCTCTAAGTCTACTCCAATACTGAAATACTTATAAGCAGCCCTGGTAGTATATATACCTGCTCAAGAAATTTCTGATGATTACTTTTACAATTAATTTCTAATGAAAATGTAAAAAGATGCTGCTAAAAGCATATTGTATATTTAATTAAATCAAGATTGTTAATCAGATTAACTTTCACCACTATTCTATGTAGCGATTTGAAATGATTTTTGCTGTTGTTGTTCGGTTGTGTCCAAGTCTTCCTGACCCCATTTGGGGTTTTCTTGGCAAAGAGTGGTTTGCCATTTCCTTCTTTGGTTCATTTCATAGATGAGGAGCTGAGGCAAACAGGGTTAAGTGACTTGCCTAGGGTCACACAGCTAATAAATGTCTGAGGCCAGATTTGGACTCAGGAAGAAAAGTCTTCCAGACTCCAGGCCTGATAGTCTATCCACTGTGCTATCTACCTACCCAATGATTTAAATGCCATCAAAACATTTCAATGGGTATTAAAACTTTAATTAAGCCAGTAATGCTACTGCCTATTGATATTGAAGAACAGTAAGTTCTTCACTGAGTGCCTTGCAATAATTTAAAATCAAGCAAATTAAGGTACTGTTAGACAGTGGAGTTCAATTTTTCATACATATATAAGAGCAAAAACCTAGTCATCTTCCTTTTGAGAATTTGGTTGTAGATTTACCACCCTGAGAAATTATTTGTACATTTTGCTGCTATTCATTGTCACATAAATGAGACAAGATGCTTTTTAATTAAGTTTATATGACAGTAACAGTGTTGCCAAATCATTCAGATATTTTCGTGGAAAAATAAAATGCCAAATGCCAGACAGAGCCCACATATTCTTATTCTTTCCAAGATACTGTGACCATGTACAGTAGAATTTTAATTTCCTAAAAGAGAGATCTCCCAGATATCACCTAATCTCCCTGTGGCTTGTACAGGAAGGGAGCTCGGCTAGTGGGAAGAACAAGGAAATTCGTGACTTGAGGTTTATATCTCTAGGTTATATCTCCACCACCCTGGAGCTAGTGGCTGCAGATCCCTGAGTCTCTGGCCTTCTAACCTTCTAACCTCTAACCTTCTCCTTATGTTACCCTCTGCCTTTGGGACAAAGGTTCATCAGTACTAACTCCTCAAAGTTTCCCCTGGTTATGGAGGAATTCCATCAGGACCAAAACTGGGTAATGTTGAATGCAGGTGATATCAGAGCAATGAATTACCTGAGGGCAACTGAAACCAGTAGAAAAAGGATTATCAAAACCAGTTAAAAAAAAAGAAAAGACAGGGGGCAGCTAGGTGGTGCAGTGAGTAGAGCCCTGGCCCTGAAGTCAGGAGTTCCTCAGACCAAACACTTGACACTTACTAGCTGTGTGACCCTGGGCAACTCACTTAACCCGGATTGCCTTAAAAAAAATAAAGACAGGTTAAGAAGGAAGCCTGCCATTACCACTCCTGAGCCTTCCTGGCCTTCTCCCTTTCAGTTCCTATGCAAAACAACTTACATTATGGCTTCCTGAGGCTGTGTCTCCCTTGAAACTCCCTCCCTTTTGAAAAGTATTTAATCCTGCCTCTTTCTGCCACTCTTCAGCACTCCAGGACTTGTGTACTGCATGGTGTCCTGAATTGCAATTCCCTTGCCTGAATTAAAGATCCTAGTTTTTGCTACTTTGATAGTCTTCTTTATTTCAGGTTGAAAACAGCTAGTATTTGTTAAAGCCCAGATTCAAACCGAGACTTCTGACTCTATAACATATTGCATTTATTCTAGTGTTTATATGAGTCCATCCTTGAACATCTAGTGTAATTTGTCCAAAAAAAGCATGTTCATCATGAACCAATTAATTTAAATTCATATGCTTTAAGATGAGAAGACATTTTTCACAGTTCATTCATTCAATGAATACTTATTCAGTCCCTGCTGTGTACGAGGTAAAGAGCTGTACTTATTTACAGCAGCCTTGCATGTAAACACACATCTCATCTCTTACTGATGGGTTTAGGGGTTCAGGGGTCCTGGGACCCCAAAATCACAACACACAGGCCCTATCTGAAAAAATTCAACCCAAGCCTTCTTTCAGCCAAAGACAAGGTTTATTAGAACATCCATCATATTGGGCAGACTCTTAAGGAGTCTGAATATTAGTAAGTTATTAGCTTATTGGCTAAATTATAAGAATCTAAGCAGTGGCTAAATTTTAGGAATCTGAGCATTGGCTAGATTATAAGAATCCTGGCATCTTAATGGAGACAAGATGGACCTTATATACAGAAAAACTGTGGGAGGGATCTAGGGGTGGTCAAGTAGTCTGTGAGGTAATAGAATTCCAGAGAAAATGGAGCCTTAGATAGGACCAAGGGTGGGAAGTAGCCTGGGGCCATAGGGAGGCAAGACAATGGAGGGCCAGGCTAGGTCAAGGATAATAGAATTGGGGGATTGGGTACAGCCAAAAAGAAGGGCCAGTTGACTGAGTTATGGCCTCAGGGGAATGACAGAGATCTCCTTGATCAAGCGGGAGAATTCAAGGACAGTCCAAGGGTTTTCTAGGGCCCATAGACAAATGGGACCCAAATTGGGACAAAGGTCTCACTTTGGGCCCATACCCCATCATTACCAAGATTGTATTAGCTCAGATAATGATGAAGATTTCAACCCATCCATGCCTGCCTATCCTGTGCAACTTTTCCAGAGTCTCATAAATTCACCATAGGATGTCCACCCCAACTCCTGGAATCCCTTTTTGATTACTGCCGACTGTGTGAGGACATCAAGAGGGCACCAGTTATCTCCTCCTATCCCCATGTGACCAAACAGTTTTATTTTTCACTCTATAAATGTCTTTGATTACATTCTTTATGCTAATTATTCTTCACAGATCCTTATCAATTATGTTTTGTAACCTATTCACACCTGACAAGGTATGAGCCCAAGCTAAGACCTTTGCGCCTTACCCCAAAAAGAATTCTTGAATTCTCCCACTTGATCAAGGAAGTCTGTGGCATTTGCCTGAGGCTATAATCCTATCAACTGGCCTTTCATTATCTCATTATTGTTTTGCCCAGTCTCCCAATTCTCGGTTATCCTTAACCTAACCTAGCCTTCCATTGTCTTACCTCCCTAAGGCACTGCCCCCCCCCCTTTAATCCTATGTTGACTGCATTCTCCATTCTCCCTCACCCAGGTGGTCCAGGTCCTGGTTTGGTTCACCTCAGCCTACTGGCCACTCCCATGAAGATCCTCCCTAGATCCCTGCCACAGTCTTTCTGTATGTAAAGTCCATTCTTATCTCCATTAAGGTGCTCAGATTCCTTAAGAAACTAGCCAATGCTCAGATTCATGAAGAGTCTAGCCAAGGGCTTGGATTCTTAAAATCTGGCCCCCTTGCATTAGCATACAAATGCTTAGAGTCTGGCTTTAATAAACCTTGTCTTTGGTTGAAAGAAGAGCTGGGTCAGAATCATTTGGGCAGGATCCGCATGTCATGATTTTGGGGTCCCAGAACCCCTAAACTTCAACACACTCACCAAATGCCTCTCCATTGCCCTCTGCATGATGCTGATTTTTAATTCTTTGGGGATTACGTGGTGTTCTATGACTCAGCCTGGCTCCGGTTGCTAGGGCCGTCCTGTTCTTGTATGGTGAATTCTGTCTGTGGGACCAAACGGCTCCAGGCAATCATTGAAGCAGATGAATTTAGCTAAGCAGGTGCTGGAGCCGGCTTCTGGGGAGTGTAAAGAAAGGACAAGGCCGACATTTCCTGGATGTTGTTGATTGTGCTGCAGAAGGTGGATTGCCAACATAGTCGGACTGAGAGTAAACTGGGCTATGGAACTCAGCATGTAAGAGATGAACTCTCAGAAGTGAAGCCTCCTCAA